CCCCCCCCCCCCCCAAAAAAAAACCCAACCAAAACAAAAAGAAGAGATCAAGTTACAGAGAATATCTCTGGAGATCTATCCAATTCCACGTGACAGCACCATTGCCTTCTCTTATGACCGATAGTCACTCTTTTTCATAAGGGTTAATTTGTTTTATTCTTATAGTGTTGTTTTGCTTGTCACCCCTCCTCAGTATGGTTGCATATTACTAATCAATATTTGACTCTCGAACTGTTTGTTATAGTTTTTTTCTTTCAGTGGCAAAATGAATTGTCTGATAAATGCATCCCGGTAATCTATCTGATCAACTTTTTGACCGGTTCATGTAAACCACATAATTGTTGATTATGTCTTTTGGCAGAAGGTACTAACTCTCAACTTTCAGTAGTCTAAGGAAACTTAGTCACACAAGGATCTTGATAGGTAATTCCACCATCATGAGAAATGATAGCTTAAGCCTTAAACTTCTGCTCCTGCCAAAATAGCTAGGTTAGTACGCAAATGTATCTCAGTTATGCGAACAGATGTCCAGTTGAAAACGTAGAAGTCCTACAAACTTGTACAGGACACCATTATCTTATCGCAGTCCTAGATTTCCAAATAGTTCTTTTATGTTCTAACAGATTGGTGTCTTCTGACAGAATAGCTCGGTATTTATTCAATTCGGGCATAGCCCTTATTTGTGTACTTGCATCTTTATTCTTCTGTATGATATTGGAATCATTATCACTTTTGTTGTTTGAGATATTCCAGCTCGGTTTCATTTGTTCCCTTATGTGGTAGTTCAAACAATTTTTACGATCCTTCTACTGGTTCCTTTTGAAAAGCATATCCCCTTTTTGTTGAATTTGTAATACTACTAGTTATATTCTGGCTCTTTTTAAACATTTGAAGTTGTTTTCTCAGGACTTGTGAAATATGCTGTTCTATTGCGCGCAATGTTGTTGGTCCAAATGATGTTGAGTCAGCACAGCAAACAAATGAATCCAATGCGTTGGCTACAAATGCAGCGTCTGCACCAGTATCATCAGCCACTTCAGAAACTCGAACTTGTTTGAATGGCCATCGGTTCTTGAATTTCCTCTTAGCTTGTATGGTATTCGCGTTTGTCATCTCTTGGCTCTTCCATTTTAACATCCCATCATAGATAGTATAGTAAAAAGTTCATGTGCCCCATGAAATTCCAAGGTAGTAAAGGCAAATGAAGGCTTATGATGGTAAAACACGTTTTTACGACTAGCTTTGGCAATATATCTACCTGCAGGGCAATATTTCATCTGTCTGCACCTAGATTTAGAAATCAATTTGTAAGAGTGTCATCGTCGATTTATTTACTATATTGCCCTTTGATCTCATGAAAATGCCAGCAGTTGTTTTAGTTTGTTATGTTCCAAATTTAAACTGAACCCCTTTTAATCCAAATTTAGGTAGTTGATTCCTGCATTTTCTTTATACCCAGTTCTTGTTTGGTTTTCGAGAAGTGGGGTGTTAATGACAAACAAGTAAGAGGACTTTTAAATTAATCTGAAGTTGGCAAAACTAGTTCAAGATTTAGATTGAATTCCAACTTGGAGCTCCATTTAGAGCCTGTTTGGAAAGCCACCTTGGAAATGGATTTGGGTGTAATTACACAGTTTGGCATGTTTGTTTGGCCAGGTAATTACTTTGTCAGCATGGAATTGGGTGTAATTGGAGGGGTGTAATTACACTCTCCAATTCTCAAGAGGAGGTGTGAATTGGTGGTAATTACACTGTGTAATTACAAGGTTGCCTTTTAGTTTCATTCTTTTTGTTTTTATTTTAATTTATTTTCTTGATAACTTTTTATTTCTATTATTTTAATTTTTTTAATTTTATTTTTAATTTTTAATTTCTTTTGAAATTTTAAATATATTTTTATTTGTACATTATTTATCTATCTTCACTTCTTGTGATTCCATAATTGCTTATATTTTATTTTTTATTTATTTTATTGTTCTATGTTTGAAACTACACCTCCTAATATTAGAAATAATGAGTCATTAATAACTTGGCATATAATGAATGATGCAATAAAAGTGGAATTCCGTTGTTGAATATTGTTATAAACTATTATGTTTCTTAATCTTAAGTTGCAGTGGGACTTACTATTATTATGTTGGAATTTGACATATGTTAACTATTTTATTTTTTTATTTTTGAAATTGTGTTATATCCATGGTTCCGATTTACTTGTTTTAGTAGTATTGGCTCACATTGCATGTTTTTTTTGTTAGAATTGATAGATTAGTTTTGCCAAATATTTGAATAATATTATGACACTATATTATAAATATTAATTTATTTTGTCAATCGTGAATTCCATGATATTCTTACAAAACGTATATTTTTAGTTTTTGCAAGTATCTAAACTAAATATTATTATTTTAAAATATATATATAAATTATTTTTACAATATAATTTATAATTATACTCTTAAATATCAAATATAATATTATTTATACTTATAAAAATTTATTGGCATATATTTATTATATTAATTTGTAAGTTTTGATAATTACTTAATTTAAAATTTAATCTAACAGTGTAATTATACATGTGCAACCAAACAGTAAACTTGTAATTACACTGTAATTACACTATGACAAACAAACATGTCGTCGTAATTACACAACTGTATAATTACTAGGCTGTGTAATTACACCAATTCCAATTACAGGGTGGCTTTCCAAACGGACTCTTACAGTTATCTATGCACAGAATAGATAGATCCACTTGTACTTAATTTGTAGGCAATGCATGGTTTTTCTGAGGATATTTTTGCTTTTATATATTGCAACTAGGGGTGTCCCGAAAACCGAATCAAATCGACACAAAAAAAAAAAACGATAATATTTTGGTTTCATTTAATTTTGGTTTTAAATTTTAAAAGCCGACCAAATTTGGTTTGGTTTTGGTTTTAAGTAAAAAGACAACTGAAAAATCAAACCAAACCGACTTTTAAAAGTACTTATTTAAAACTTTATTATAAACAGTTAACGCAGTTCAACCTGCAATCCAATCGTAAATCCTCATTTCTCGTACACAACGTTTTAAGTAGGCGCTTGGACATAAAAATTGTAATTTTTGAAAAAAAAAGTAGTATTAGAGTTTAGTTGAGAATTGGTATTTGAAATTTGTAATAATAATTGGACATATATGTCATTTGAAAAAATGTTGCAGCTTTGTGAGAGAAAAAAATTGAAAAATTTGAAAAATTTATTTTCAAAAATTTTTCAAAACTTACAATTTGTTTTGGACAAACGCATTTTTGAAAGAAAAAAAAATCAAAAAAAGAATTTTTTTTATGGACAAACGGGTCCTAAGACTTTGTGCTAGTTTCCCATATTCTTCAATATACCTTTTTCTAGAAGTAAATGTCATTTCATCCTTTTGGAGACATATTTTAATTATAAAGTGATTTCATCTAAATTATTCAAGATTTTAAAAGTAAAACATTATGGGCTTAGTAAATCAGGGTCTAAACTTATCAAATGACACACTTTTCTTTTTCTTTCCCCAGATTTGTTTATCCAAAGAGTAAATGTTAAACAGTGTTCTCTGAGCTACAGTGTAACTTTGGTCCCTTTTTATTACAGTTCAAAATATTTTTTTAATCTTTAAGGACTTTACTGATGGGAGCAAACTCTGTTGTTTGTAAAAGAAAAAACAAAGATAAGACAAAACAAAAGTGGAAAAGTCAAAGGAAGAAATAAATAAAAAGAGAAGAAAGAGATATGTGAAAAAAGACAAAGAAAGAAAGGAAGTCAGAATGAAAAGACTGTAAAATATGAATGAATTAAATTGGTTTACAATCACGGTGTTGTCCTGCCGCATGTTCACATTTTGCTGAAGATTTCAACTGCTTCCTCTTCCTATAAATAGGCATCCTTTCTCAGTTGCAATTCATCCCTAAACTTTTCTTTTTCTTCAATTAATAAAGAGTTATTCTTTGTGTGACCGTGGAGTAGGCAAAAATTGCCAAACCACGTAATTCTTGTCTTGTCTTGTGCAATTTATTATTTTTCTGTTTTAAATATATTTTTTCCTTTCTATTAGCCGGACACGCTTCCTAACAATTTGTATCAGAGCACAACAATGTAATTTTGGTAGAAAAATACGGTATTGGTGCAGGTACTATTCACAAGAATAGTGCGACACTATTGATCATCAATATTAATACTATTCACAATAGTGAAGTACCATTCATTAATAGTGATAGTATTGTTCACCAATAATGATTATTGTCTGCCTTATACGGTTGGGACATTTTTTCTTACACCGACTAGTATTTGCGGTTACTATTCATAGGCACTATTCATATAAAAAAATTGTGAAAAAGGGCATCGGAAGAAGGGAAGGTTAAGATTGACAAGTTCAATGGCAAAGATTTTGGATTCTAAAAAGTACAAAATAGAGGATTATTTGTACCAGAAAAAATTACACTTACCTCTGACTCGGTAAAACCAGAGAATATGGCCAAAGCGGATTGGGATCTATTAGATTTGCCAAGCTCTTAGTGTGATTCGTTTGACGCTAACATGAAATGTAGCATTTAACATCATTAATGAGAAGCCACTGCAGCCTTGATGAAGGCGTTATCAAATATGTACGAGAAGCCATCTGCTTCAAATAAAGTCTATTTGATACGTCGATTGTTCAACCTAAAGATGACATAAGGCGGATCTGTTATAGAGCATATCAATGAGTTTAATGTAAGATTAACTCAGTTGAGTTCTGTTAACATTTGATGACGAAGTCAGGGCGTTGATTCAACTATCATCTCTACCAGAAAGTTGGTCTACAACAGTAACTGCAGTTAGCAGTTCATCAGGTAGTACCAAACTTAAATTGGATTATATTAGAGACTTGGTTCTAAGCGAAGATATTCGTCAGAGAGAATAAAGTGATTCCTCGGGATCTGCTTTTAATACTGAAAGCAAGGGGAGAAGCAGCCAAAGAGGACAAAGTCATGGTCGTTGCAAATCAAAGTCAAGGAGAAGAGGGTAATCCAAGAATCGCAAAGACATTACTTGTTGGAATTGCGATAAAAAGGGTTATAATAGTAGCCAATGTAGAGAGCCAAAGAAGAAGAAGAACGATCAATACAAGGATGATAATTTAGCAAATGAAATTGCTGAACAAGTCGGTGATGCACTAATTGTTGTGCAGAAAGTCCTGTCCGAATGATTCTGGACTCAGGTGCATCCTTCCACTCTACCTCAGGAAAAAAATTATTGCATAATTATATTACTGGAAAATTCAGAAAGGTTTATCTAGTAGACGACGAAGCTTTAGATATTGTCGGGAAAGGTGAAGTCCATATAAAGACTTCACAAGACACGTTGTGGATATTATGAAATGCCCGACATGTTTCTGGCCTCAAGAAAAATCTGATATCATGGATCAGATTGACAATAAAGGATACACAACAGTATTCGGTGACGGATCGTGAAAGATAACCAAAGAAAATTTGGTTGTGGCACGAGGCTTCAAGAAAGGAACACTGTATGCAACCACAATGAGAGATACAATAGCAGTAGTTGACCTGGTCGTGACACAACATTGTGGCCGGATGCTCGAAAATATGAGTAAAAAGGGAATGAAGTTGCTGACATCCAAGGAAAAGTTGCCAAACATCAACCATGTTGAATTAGATTTATGCGAAGATTGCATTTACGAGAAACAAAAGAGAGGTAGTCACCTTCATCGATGATTTCACGAGAAAGGTATGGGTTTATTTTTTGAAAAATAAATCTGATGTGTTTCTTCTCTTTAAAAAGATGAAAAGCTGAAGTTGAAAATCAGACAAGCCTAAAGTTAAAATGTCTGAAGTCTAACAATGCGGAGAGTATGATAGTTAAGAGTTCAAAGCATTCTGCTCGGATAATGGGATCAGAATGACCAAGACAGTCCTTGGATTAACGGAACAAAATGGCATTGCTGAGAGGATGAACAAAACCCTTAATGAACGAGCCAGAAGTATGAGAATACATTATGGGTTGCCGAAGTATTTTTGGGTCGAGGCTGTTCACACGGCAGCTTACCTCATAAATAGAGGACCCTCTGTACCGACGAATTTTGAAATTCCTGAGGAGGTATGGACAAGAAATGAGGTAACTCTCTCACATCTGAAAATCTTTGTGTTGTTTATGTGCATGTAAACTCTAATGATAGAGATAAGCTTGATCCTAAAGCCAAGAAATATTTCTTTATTGGCTATGATGATGATAATTTTGGTTATCGGTTTTGGGAGATCAGAATAGAAAGATCTTAGGTCACATTCAATGAAAATGTGAAGTACAAGGACAAACTTGGAGTAGAACCAACCAGCACTAGCATACAGATATCCAAAACAGTTGAGTTAAAAGAAATCTCAGAAACTGGAGTGTCTAGAGGGATTATAACTGATTCTGAAAT